ATGAGGTCGCTGTGGGTCAGAACCGACTCCAAAGCACCTCACAGCAACAACATAGATGCATCTGAACTTTATGTTGTTTCTGAAGAGTACAAGTTGACATAAACCTTACTCTTTATTTCTTTGGTTTGTGAGAAATCTGAAATTCAATAAGCAATAAACGTTCACAGGGGCCAAGTCAGCTTTCATGATTCCCATCCATCAGATGGGGCTTAATATGCACCTTCTCATCTTTGGAAAAGCATTTCTGGTATAGAGAACATTTTGTTTTCATTGTTCACTTAGATCAGCCAGTAATATTTCCTCCTATGAGTTAGGAAATCTCATAATCTGGCCCCTCTCATCAGTTGTTTTCAGTTGTATGCTAACATGATTCCAGTGAGATGGCTTATGCTTCCCTCCTAGTGTTCACAAGGTGTCCCAGACTTTCCTGGCAGTCTCCCCTTTCAGAAAGGTGTAGGTATCATCAAAGAGGAATGCTTCTAGGCCTTTGTCGGGTGTCCCCTAAAGAAGGTGGGGACTTTGAGGGCACCAGGGCAAATGCTAGCATAACTTCATGATGGTAATAATGGGGGGAGAGGTATAAGATGGGATTATATTGAGTGCAAACCCAAGAAAAAGTTATTAGAGAAACTAGTTTCAACCTAAAGGGGAGCCCCTCTACATGTACACTTAAGAGAAACCCCTGTCTTTCAAACCTTACCTACATAATTGGGAACAGTACTGTATCTCTACTGTAACAGATTGAAATGCAACATTTCCTTGGAGATACTATGAAATACCATGGATGTACCTCTCTCTATAGCTGGGTTCAAAGAAATCACTGACGACCTGTGTCCAGACGGTGGCCATCTCCGGAGAGAACCCTGTTTAAAGCTATTCTGTGGTCTCTAGGAAATTTTATTTTCACAACCCTATCAGGAAAATATTTTAAGCCAAGTACCCCTAGTGTATGCACATTTATTTATGTTACGTTCATATTTTTCTGCATGATTTATTAAGTACATTAAAAATGTTTCAGAATATAGACTTTAAAAGGCTGTGATTTAAAAATGGAGAGAAAACTGTTTTCTAATATCCTATTCCACTTTGGGGAGCCTGATTGTCACCAAAAAGCATTTGGATTTAATAAGCTTTAAATGCCTACAACTGCGCATTGTTGAATTGGCATATGTTCTGCCACGTATATTCTCCCCAACAGTCAAAGTAAAATAAGATTTTTAAGTAAACAGAAGAATCCTCACGGAGAGAAACACCGAGCTCAGAGCAAGAACACAGATTCATAGCATTTTAGCAGGACTGGCACACCAGATAGATGGACATTGATTGGTAAGCAGTAGGGAAGGTTAAACTAATATTTGAGCTGCTGGTGTATGCTATGCAGTGTGTAGGGTGTTTTATCTATTCCTTTTTTAAAAATCATTTTATTGGGGGCTCATACAGCTCTTATCACAATCCGTATATACATCCACTGTGTCAAGCACATTTGTACATTTGTTGTCATCATCATTCTTAAAACGTTTGCTTTTTACTTCAGCCCTTGGTATCAGCTCCTCATTTTTTCCCTCCTTCCCTCCCTCCCTCCCTCCCTCACCCTTGATAATTTATAAATTGTTATTATTTTTTCATGTCTTACATTTTATTCTTATTTGGTCCTCAAGGCAGTACTGTTAAGAGCCTCTACAATATTTGGAGTGACTGAAAATTTCAGATGTAAAGATGTGACAAAGTTGACGCTTCTTTAAGAATTGTAGGAACAGCCAGTGCTTTGTCGGAAGTTAATCCTGCGTATTTAGCCCTGTACCATCCTCTACGCTTTTCATTGCACTCGTTTCCTGTTCTGGGCCGACTGTATCTTCTTGTTCTAACATGAAGTTTTCCTCTAGTGTTACATAGGAGTATAATGATGGAATACATATTTGTTTTGTGATGTTGAGAATCGAATTCTTTTTTAAAATTTCTTAGATATGTTTGCCATTTATTAAAGTTAATTTATGTTCTCTGTGCTTTGTGTTTACTAAATGCAGTATAAAAACAATTAAAAAAACTTTCTTATGGTGATGGTTTTTTTTCTAATGTTAGAATTCTCTTAAGATTTTAACATGTTTTTCTTGAAACATTGATTAAAATGAGTAGAGAAGTTTTAGCTAATAGTTGCCATCATTTGTAAATATCAATTTTTTTATCTCATCCTCTTGATGCTTAGTTTTCCTTTAAGAAAGGAAGATGGATTATGTCTATATTGGACTCATAAAACTGGCCATTTTATTTAAGAGTCATACATTTATGATGTAAACAAACCGCACAGCTTGTCAGGTTGACTTCCACCCAGGGCTATCCCATTAGTACCCAAGTCTGTGACCTCACAGAAGCAAATCACCTGGTGGGCCTACGTGGATTCCAACTGTTAACCTTTTGATGAGTGCTTAGGCACTTAGCCCTTTGTGCCACCCAGCAACTCCATGTGTGCTTTCTAAAACGTAGTTGCCATCAAGTCAATTAAAACTCATAGCAGTCCTCTAGAGCAGAGTACAGTGACTCCTAAGCATTTCCTAGATGTACATTTCTACGAGAGCAGATAGCCTATCTTTCTCCCACAGTGCATCTTGTGGGTTCAAACTGCCAGTTGTATGGCTAGCCGCCCAACACTTTACCTGCAGTGCCACCAGGGCTCGTTAAGAGTGTCACCAGGATTGGTTTTATTTGAGGGGGAAAAATCGACTGGTATTAATTACACTAGTTCTGTGTGAATTTTTGTTATAGGAACTAAATGGTTAAGCCTATTTTTAGTTATATTTGATACAGATTTTAGGTGACAGCGTGTTTATAGTAGAATTTGAGTGGGACAGTGAATTAAGATTTGCCTTGTAAAATAGGGTGATTTTATAATAACTAGTTTTTTATTGTTTATTATCTAGTGTTTCAATCTTGCCTTTTTATGTTCCTTAGCAACCCTACAAGTTCTTGATTTATGTTCAAGAATGTTAAGTAAAGGACAGCCAGCCCTTTCAGTTTCAGGAGTCCACCGTGGGCTCCACTTCCTGCTTTCGGAGAGCAGGAGGGGACGACTGCAGCACATGCCCTTTCCTTCTCTTTTCTTGTTTGTTCCTGGGCTGGCTGTGCTTTCGCTGGGCCCAGAGCCACGGTGTCCGTGTGCCTGGGGACAGGTGGTGGAAAGCCGCTCCTGGACGCTCTACAAGCAGTCAAACCAGTCCAGGCCACACTGTCATCTTTTCAAGATAGGTTTTGAGGGCTACTAAGTGTTGTTTTTTCATTGGTAGTACCGATCATACTTTAATTTTGCTAGAAAAGACATATATAAGTTTGTATTTTACTGCTTTGAGAGACTGGCAGAAGCACTAGAAACCAGCACGCTTGCCCCCTGGGGGATTGATCCTGTTGAACCATCTTCAAGCCTTTCTGCCTGATTTCAAGCAGCTCTGTCCCTGAGGAGAAGAGAAGATCTCCTCGCTGCAGTGACAGTGTTCTTCAGGGACATTTTCCTCTAGGGCTGCCAGGTCTTTTAACTGCTGCCCTCGTGAAAACATGTGATTTAAGAAGATGTTTCCTCGGGGAACTCGTGATTCTGGGTGTGATCTGTCTTTAATAGAGGAAGAGAAAATCTTTTCTCTGCTTTGGACTGAAAGCCAGTTAATCTTGAAGATTAGTGCGTAACATAGGACTCCCGTTAGCGTGATGACTGGTGATTACTTCACTTGAAAGCATCCCGCCTCTGAATGATCATCCATGGGCGGACTGAGCGGGGAAGGGCCTCTTCTGACTTAGGTTACAACTTCATCTCTGCATGGAAGATGTTTGAAACCTCAAACCCAGACATGCTGCTGCCACTGCCTGCCTAATTCCCTCATCCTCCCCACCCCCACCCCTTCTCCTATAGTCCTCAAACATTCCCGAAACAGGAAATGGATTAGACAAAGGACTCCACCACTAATACAATTAAAGGGGTGATGGGGTAAGAAAGGAATGGCTGAAAAAAATGAGACCACAACCGTGGACCAGCAAGACAGATTTAGAGGCACAAAACCTTTATAGGGTTTGAATGTTGAAGTCAGAATTGAGATTATTTCCATTTGGTCAGCTGATTTCATTGTAGATTACACATTCCCCAGAAGGACAATTCATTTCATAATAGCCCTATACTTCCCGATCTAATGCAAGGCGAGTAAAAATTGTGTCCTAAGCACAAATGGCTGGTGTTTGGTGTGAAATACGTGTAGTCGGCCTGGTGAAGGAGGTGGGGAGCTTTACCTCTTGGTTCTTCAGGGACTGTGTTTCTTTGGAGAATACTAAAGACATGTTACCCAGCTCAGCAATCAGCCTGCCTTCAAGTGTATTCAAATTAAATAATAGAAACACACATTCAAGTGGAAAGCAAAAGCAAAGACCTCATGGACTCCGTATTCAGTGCATACGTGAGCTGTCCTCGGGTCCCTTCCATCTCCCAAATGTACAAGTCAGCTCGCACATGTCCAGATAAAGAGGCAAGAGAGCGCCAATGTGTGAAGTGTGTAAGCACTCGGGACAGGTTCCGCCTCTTCCAGGGAAAGAAGGAAGGGAGTTAGATTTGCACAGCATTGAAGGTAGCCGTGGCACAGGAGACCATCTTTGCTCAATTAAACAAAAGGAGAAACTGCTGTGCCTTCTCCCTGCCTTCCCGACCCCATCCCTGCCTCCCAAGACAGGCACCAAAGTCTACCCACGAGTCAGCCTGTATCGATCTCTTTGGGCAAAAGGACGATTCCTTTGTAAATGTTCAGAAGCAAGAATTTGCCTTCTGAAAAAGCACATGCCATTTGATACCCTTTAACTTGACATGTGAGTGAGCTTTTTGGTTTCGTAATTCCATTTTCCACAAAGGCTGCCTTTCTAATGATTAAAGATGACACAGCCAAGCCACTTCTTCTTTCATTACATTCCCTGCTTTCATGTTCTGTCATTCTGAGACCTTTTTTCTCTCCCTCTCTCTGTCTCCTCTCCCCCAGCTCTCGGCAGCGTCCAGCCCCTCCAGTCACAGTCCTCACAGAGCCTCAGGAAAGGACCCCTTTGCAGAGCTCTCTCTGGAGGACTTCTTATAAAAGTCACTTTAGGTATTGCTGCTTGTTGGGGGCAACGGGGACTGAAATACTTTTTAAAAAATCACCATACATGAAGCACAATTCACTCTTCTCCTTTGTGTCTTTAAAGGATTCCAAGCTCTCCTGTCCTCTGCTCTATTTCTTAGATGATAAGTAAAATAAGTCAAGATAGGACATGAGGAGAATCAACTTTTGGAAAATGTGTTTAACGTAATTCTTCAGAAGGTGTGAAATCCAGGGAGCTTCTTCCATGTGTATATACAGACGTGAGCAGCCAGTGCTCACAGCAGATGAGATCAGTTGCCCCCTTTTTAAAAGCTGGGCGTTTTAGTCACTCTTGAAACCCAGTGTGAACAACGGCACAGTTTCACACATTGGATTCGAGCTTGATGGGCAGCATCGTTCCATTAGGGTGAATATAATCATAACCAGTGTTTTGAAGCATTCATTCCAACAATTTATGTAAAGGATTGTATGTTTTTATGTATCCCTTTTCATTTAAAAACTGTAACATTTTCAAAGAATAGTCTTTGGTTAGCATTTTATTTAAGGCCAAGTAACTGTTTACACCCTTTTCAATAGAAGAATCCTGCATATGACCCACATTGTAGTCTGCTCTTCATGGGGGCTATTTCTACCCCCCAATTTAAATACATCTAGATCGCTGGGAGTTGGGACTCTTCTGATTTGGCAAGTTAATTAGCATACCTACTTGAGTCATTTCTTGGGAAGGAGAGAGTAAAGGAAGTCATGAGTGAAGTGTCTTGGAATGGGCAGTGGCATGTCACTGAAAACGGTTCCTTTATAGATCCTTGGCCTTCTGTGTTAGTAAGGAAATGATTTAACAAGCTTAACTCTGTTGTTCCCTTTTTACTTCGGATTTTATGGCATTAGTTTAGAAATAGTATTTCAAATTGTGCTTTGCCAAATAAAAGTTTATGTGGAATACTTAGTGCTCCTGGAAAAAATTTTATGAACTTGTAGAAAAGTCATTTGTTCACATCTTCTTTGTTTCCTCCATTCTCCCTGCCCCACCCCCTTGATGTTTACTAATTAGAAAGGTGTTATGCTTCAAATATTAAATTCAAGTACACGATCAGCTGATAATAGTGACTTTGTTTTAAAATCAGGACTTGTGATAAACATACTGTAAGCACGACTGAGGCAGTGTTCTGGGCAGCTTTTATTTGTGAGAAGGTATCTTACAGTGCAGGAAATTAACTTCACCATTTTCTTTTCTTTTTTTTCTCCCCAGATACAATTTATGTAACTAAGATGGAAAGAATGGAATTATTTCAAAAAGACAAGTGCTCAAGCGGCAAATCCTTACTTCCAGCAAAATCCGAACTGCTGTCTCTTAAACTCTTTTCTTCCACTAGAATGCGACAGTGACCAGGGAAGGCCCGTGAAGGGAATTGGGGCTAGTCGATAGGAGAACGTATCCGTAGTTTATAAAGCCAAGAATGGCCATGATTTAAGACTAAGAGCTGTCTTTTTTGGTGACTAACCCTTCAGTTCTTTCAACTGCTATTAATATCCATAATCAATAACCTACCAAAAGAAGCCCTTATTTGGAAAGAGTGAAATTTGCATTTGGAAAAGCTGCCTGGAGAGAAGAACTATGTCCTTTCCTGTAATTCAACAGGACTCTTTTGGAGGGATAAAAATCATAATTCTTAATTATACAGTATCTTTCTTTTCTCCACTCCTGACAGATACAGAAACAGTAACTGAAATTAACTTTTCTTTTAAAAAAAATTATATATTCAGTTTGCAGTAGACATTCCTTATGTATTTGTATTTATTTATGATTATCAATTTATGTAACATTAATATTGTATCAAACTTCCTTATGAAAATGAGTATGGATGTACACAGTATGTTTGATTTTTATCCACAAGAATGAATCTGATTCAGAATGCTTTTCAGCTGACATACAGAGCACTAAATATCTCAAGGCAAGTCCATAGGTCTGAATCTCATAAGACTTCTCGGTCTTTATGGGAATTAGGGAAGCATTATAACTGCGTTAATCTTTATAGTCAATTCTGTGCCTAGGATTTTGTAAGGGGACAGTTCACTGACTAGGAAAAGCACTACATTTCAAATTCAGCATAGTGCACCGGGCAGGAACGTTACTGCTGTGTGCTTGGCGTGTCGTTATTCTCCATCCGACGTTAGGGCCTTTCCAAAATGAATGTGAGGAATTGCTTTCACTTCAAGACTCCTTCTTTTCAATAAAGCTTAGGAGGGATTCGGGGGAGGGAGGGGACAAAAAAATCCTTGAACCTTTTATTTGGCTTGCGCCATGTTATGATCATGTACCTTTTAAATAAGGGGAAATAGTATCTTTAAAGTTAATGTCTAGCCAAGAGTTTAGTTAACGAACAATTAAACTGCACTGTTGATCGGTGCTTTGTGTAAATACGTCGTAACATTTGGGTTGAGAGGGGCTGTAGAAGGACAGTTCGTTGTAGGAAAGCAATTCTGCACATGAGTTTAAGCATACTTGTTGCATTGTCTCTGCAGATTCTATTTTTGTTTACAATATTAAAATGTATGTTAGCAAAACTGGGTGGATTTTCAAATAAAACGCAGCTTCCACAAAACTTTTGTTATGGTATTCTGGTCTGAGACGCCTTCTCTTTATATCATCGTTATTATTCCTTGCTAATTGAAGTATGTATAATTTAATAAAATGGAAAATGCATTTGTTTTAACTTAATTTTCAAAAATACATTCGCACTTTGTTGCCAACTTCTGGACTCTTACTAAAGCTAAACTAACTTGTTAGAATTGTTGGGGGTTTTTTGTCTCGAGCAGATACCTTCACCAGGTGAGTTTAAGAATGAAAATGCTAGTGAGCTTGGTTGGAATATTGCCGCGTCTGATGCCTGCTTGCCAAAGAAGCCACTGACTGTACATCTTTGAGTAGTATTAGGGTTAGACGGCACACATGATAGAGGGCTGAAGTGTTGAATTGATATGTGTTTGAATTGTTTGCGCATTTGCCATTGTTTGGAAGAATATTTAGTCTTTAACCCATTATACTCCATCAGTTTTACCTGTTTTTAAGTTACACAATAATTAAACCATTTTCATATAGACTGAGAAATTGTATTTTTGTAAATTAACATTAATATTATCATGGATGTCAGTTTGCCCTGGCTGGGCTTTGACTGGGTGTTACATTTGAGGTGTATGGCGTATTCCTTTCACATTTTATATTGTTACGTGTCAGTATGTAAAGCTGCTTCATAAATGTTTCCATTTTGGGACTATGTGGAGTAGGTATTAACCTACATTTTACCCATCTTATATAGTAGCTAGGATCCTGAAGCAGGAAAGGAACTTGCCGCACGTGTAACAGCAGGTCTTTGGTTCTGGGAACCACTGCCCTCAGTGTGGCACATTCCTCCTCCTCTGAGGACCAGACATGCCGGCCTAGAAAAGTGGGAACACATGATAATGTTAAAGTCAAGTGAATGAAATAAGTCAGCTGTGAATCCATAAATAATTAGTATAAACACATGCGTGCCAACACCATTTTACTGCCAATTTGCAAATTATTAGTAGTGGCTGTAGGTGGGGGGAGGGGGAGGATTAGCAGAAGGTACCTGTCCCTTCCCTTACATTTTTCTCAAATTATCTTTTTGCTATTGCTTTCATATCTCATTAATAGCATGCAGCATTGTTTTAAGACCCGCCCCCTTTCTCACCCAGTGACCACAGCGTCTCGGGATGCTAGCTAGGCTAGGAACCGTGCTACTCCAAAAGCCAGCACAGTGAGCCTTGGAAAGTAGTCTTTTGGGCCTAAGTATCTCCCTGAAATGGAAAGTTATCTCAAGGCTCAGTCCTTGCTCCTCATCCTCAAACAGAAACATTTCTGAACGAAGAATTCTGAGTACGGGGTAAATGCACCTTCTGTAAAAGTACAGGGGGAAAAAGAAGCTCCATCGGTTGAGAGCGGTGCTGAGTCACAAAGTAGGTGTGGAGAAGTCAAGACCTGTAACCAAATGAGCCTTCCGAAGACGATGCCCGCACAGCCTCTATCAGTGATCTCAGCAACCAGTGTAAATCTCCATCCTGTCACACCTGCCGCGTGTCATGGACCTGACCAGCCCTTCTGGAATCCGGCTCTGAATAGCAGAGGAAGGCTGCCTTTCCATGCAGTCTCAAAAAATGTCAAGCCGATTGCTCGCTATTTTAGGAAATGAAGTGCATGAGTCACCAATTTGCCAGTTTTCTAGTCTCATTTTGTCACATGCACTTAGTTAACGTCCCATGTGGTGGTGCCAGCGTGTGGTACAGTTCCCTGCTGTGAGCCCTGCCCCATTGTCATAGTCATGCAGAGTCCAGTCCATGGCACTTCGTTTGAGGCAGAGCAGGTTCACAATTGTAGGCAGCTAGCTAGGAGTGGGAAGGGAGATGGGAAAGAGGGACGCCCGGTTCCCAAGAAGCTCTCATTGGAATAGCTCCTCGGTGTCTGACAGCCATCTGAAGGTCGGCCGGTGTTGTTGGGGTGGGGAAAGGAAGCCTTGCTTTATGAGCTGCACCTGGCCCTTCAATCTCACCCGTCTGCGCCTTCTCCAGTGCGAGCCGCCCTGTCTCCCGGGGGTGGGGTGGTTCCCAGCCGCCCTGTGCCCTGTACACCAGCGTCGATAGTGTCCAGCGTGCTCGGTGCCCAAGACCTGCGGGGCACGAGAAACACGACCATGTGTCCTGATCCTGCAGGACAAGGCAGAGCTGTGTCTTCGGATTTTCCAAGAACCGTAGAACCCCGGTACTCGGCCGCAGCAGCGCTCGACAATCGGATTTTCATGTGAAATTTGAAAATTTTGCATCAGAGCTGGAATAAAACATCGGAGTCCGACCCGACGCATGTGATTTTTGTAAACAAGCAGTTTGTGTTTCGGTCACGGCGTTTGTTGGCGTTGTTAGTACACGTTTAAACCTTTTGCGGCTGTGATCCAAGCGTTTGGCTATGATTTTCTTAGTTTTTGTGGCCTTTTGTACTGTTTTTAGATTAAAAAAACAAACATGGGTCCTAAAAAAAGAGTTTTGTTCCCGGAAGCGCGATCACTGCTACCATGCTGCTCTTCTGCCCGGGCGGTGGCAGCGGACTGATGGTGGAGGAGGGCCAGCATTGTCACCGCTTCGCCTGCAGCACCTGACCCTATGTGCACAACATCACTCGAAAGGTGACACCCCGCAAGTCGCCCAAGCTGGAAGAGGTGGATGACGTGCTTGGGGAGCAGCTGCCTGGGAGAGTGTAGGCTCCGCTGCAGAGCGGTGTCCTAGGAGCCGACGACCACCGACCACCGTCTACCAGTGCTGCGCGCCCAGTGGCGCCCCGCGGGCGGGCGGGCCTGGGGCCGGGCTGGCCCGCAGCAGCCCTGTGCTCTTGGGCGGCCCGTGGACCATGCTCGTGAGCTGAAGGCACACAGACCCTCTTGGGGTGAAGAGACCGGGCACGCAGGGAGGACACGCAGCTCAGGTGCAGACGGGGTGGGTGACTTCGTTTCTGTCCAGGGAGCTTTTGGTTGCAGGAGCAAGGGCACCCGCCACTACGTCTGCCATGTTTACCCTTCCTGCGCTGCCGTCCGGGCTCGTCGGTGTCCACTCTGCTCGTGCAAATAGTCAAACGGAGCCCTCAGCCTAGAACCTGACGTCTGCCTCCACCTTGAAGCGTTCGTTGGAAATCTGTTTAATAACAATGTAGTCTAAATTTTTTTTTAAAGAATCAGGATAAGGAACTAGTTAACAGTTATCGATATTGTTAATAATTTAGTAAACCATTTTAGAAAACAGTTAAGGAGACGGCAACAGCAGACCACATCAGACAGATTTTTTTTTTTTAGAGAAAGCCAGCCAGGTCCTAGTGAAAAAAGGCAAATAAGGGAGCAACTCCTGACAAGCAGCTGCCAGTTGATGTTATGGACGGGGATCCCCTTCCCAACACTGACTCTCCGTACCTCCTCTCCACATCCGCCTCCGCAGATCCAGATCCTCATCAGTCTCAAGGTATGGGCCATACTGTAGTTGTTAAAAAAAACTTTTTAAATGTTGATTTTCTTATTTACTTTAAAATTTGTGTAATGTTTTGTATAAAAAAGCAAGGTTAGGGTAAAAACTTGGTGGTCGAGAACAGATTAATCTGTTTTCATTTCATGGGGAAAAAATGATTCAGAACTCGACTGCATCGCACCTTGACTCTCCTTCTAGAATGGATTAGCGTCGAGGGCCAGGGTTCGACTGTAGTAAATAGTTCCCAGAGGAGAGAGCCACATCTCTCCCTACAGCCTCATCTTTCACCTTCAGATGGCTGGCAGGTTCAAACTGCTGACGCTGCAGTTAGCAGCCCAATCCCTAACCCGGACTCCATCGAGGGAAGGGAAATAGGAATAAGCTGCCCCTGGTAGCATTCCCTTAGCCTTTCAAGAACACCACATGGAAGCTTCAGGCCCGTCACTATCACGGGCAGCTGCGCTGATGCCTTCAAAGGCACAAAATGAAAGCTCTTGTCTGAAGAGGGTGGCCCATGGCCAGGGGGCAGCCCCAAAGTGAGGCTGCCCCGGGCACAGGGGAACAGATGACAGGTTGGGGACCATGATAAACATAAGTTTTTTCACTGACTAAGTCTCAAAAGTGGATGGCTAGCCCGCCCTCCCCTCCCTAGCCGGGCTGTAAGCCTTCATTGCGCCCCCTGGCCGCGGCTTCCCACGGTGTGCCAGGGGTGGAGCAGCCAGTGTTGCAAGCAAGGCCGAGGAGGACTCTGCCTCTCACCCACCAGCGTCCCGACAGCAGGGCCTAAAGCGCCCTTCGTTTCCAGCGAGCTCACTTTTCAAAGGGAGGCTTCAAGGCCCTAGACTAGGGAACAGGTACAATCGCCAGCACAGGAGACGAGGTCTGAGCCTGGCGGGGTAATTTTAATTGAGCTTTCATGACAACTGTCTTCACTAGAAGCCTGATGCTTAACCCACTGTATCACCAGAAGTCCGGAAACTACTATCAGCATCCAGTATTGCCTAGGTTCACCAAGGAAAGAAAATGCTTGGAGCTGGGGGGTGGATTTCCACTGCAGAGTTGTGAACGATTGGGCCAATGTGCCTAGGAGAATAAAATTCTCTTGTTAGAGAACAAGTCACCATCAGCATTTCTTTTGCTGCCTGAATGTGTGAGGCTCAGGAGATAAACTGCACTTCCCAGGTCGCTTGTCCTGTGCCGTAGGAAACCCCAAGACGCCAGGCATTGTGCAGTTTCACATTTATCAGATGGCCTCTCAGGCTGTTTCTGGGTTGCCGGCCCCAGCATGCATGCTTCACTTGAGAGGTTGGGCGCCCACTGTGCGGTCAGTACTGGGTTGTAGCACCAGTGAGCCAGGTTCTGCTGTGGGGGACTCTCTGAGGGCCGTGGTGTGCAAGCGTCGAAAGCTCAGCTGCTCATTCAGTGGCTGGTGGTTCCCACCCACTGCTGGTTCTATGGGAGGAAACACCTGGTGGCTTGCTTCAGAAAAGGTCCAGCCTGGGAAATCCACTGGGGACAGTTCGACTCTGTCATCCTGGCTGCTAGGAGTCAGGACTGACTCGGCAGTATACAACAACAGCAACAGCATTGTAGGGACCGGCCGTGAACAATATTTTATGACAAGCGATGATGGGTGCTGGGAAAGGATAGAGGTGTTGAAGTGTTGGGTGACATGTTTAGGAAGAGCTTTGGTAAAGA